ATCCTAAAAATAAGAAAATTAAATTATGCAAGAAGTCATCTTTTGAGAACTTAAATAAATGAAATTGGCTATTTGAACAAAAATGGAAGGAAGCTATCCCAAGATAAAATTTAAGCAGCAGCAAGGAGGCACCATGGATAGAGCACTGGGAGTAGAATCAGGAAGAACTGAGTTCAAATTTTAGCTCAGATATTTACTAGCTGTGTGACCCTGAGCAAGTTACTTAATCTTTGTTTGTCTCAGCTTCTTCATCAGTAGAATGGGAATAATGATAGAACCTCCTTCCCAGGCTGGTTGCAAGGATCAAATGAAATAATTATAAAGTACTTAGCACAGTGCCTGGCACAGAGTAACACCTATATAAACGAACATTAAAGGTTAGATCTCCTTTCAAATAGCATGGTCTATGTCAACAAGAAGTAATTAATTATTCATAAAACTAAAACCCATACTCTCTTAAGTCTACTAAGATGATGAAGTTTTGTGAATAAAGGCCCTGAGAAAAATATGCTTTAAGAAAAGTTATAATAAGTTCATTTAATTTATTGTCTAACCAAAACAAACAAACAAAAAATCTTTGAGAATAGATTGTTTCAATTCCTAATCTCTAAATTGGAAGAGAGGGGATTAGGTAGAAGGAAGATAATCAATATTTATTCTAAGTTCCTTAAGGATAGAGAGTGGACAGAGTGTGTTTCATTTCACCATTATATCCCCAGAAACTAGTCTAGTACCTGGCACATAGTAGGTGTTTAATAAATGTTCACTGATTGAGCCCATAAAAGGCCTTTCTTGATTTCCCTCTCACCAATGCCTATAGTGCCTTGAATTTAGTTTATATAAATTTCATATAGACACATATTATTATTGATACCTAACTATGTGCCAAGTACTGTGTTATATGCTTTACAATTATTATTTCACTTGATAGTCACAACAACCTTGGGAAGTAAGTGCTATTATTATCCCCATTTTACAGATGAGAGAACTGAGGTTAAGTGATCTTCCCTGGGTCACACAGCTAATGTGTCTGAGGCCAAATTTGAACTTGGGTCTTCTTGACTCCTGGCCTAACAATCTATCCACTTTGCCACCTAGATATCCCATATGTGTACATGCATGTTGTCTTCCCCTACAAAACATAAGCTCACTGAGGGCAGGGCCTGTTTCATTTTTTTTGTTGTTGCATATCTCTAGTTAGACTAAGACAGTGCCTGCCACATTTAAAGGACAGGGCTAGGGACAGGGTATGCACCTGTGATTTCACTGGCTCAGGATCTTCTAGATCAGAAAATTAGGTGAACAGCTTCCCTGAAACTCCTATCATTTCATAGAGTAATGAAAGGTTATGTAATGTACCTAAGATCTCACCACCCTATTTTTGTCACCTCATGTCTTCCTGACTTCAAGTCTCCACCTGTAATATCTGCTTCTCAGGGTACTCACTAGGCACTTACATGCTTGTTGACTGATTGGTCCCAGTACTGTTCCCTTTTTACCATTATCACTACCATGGCCATTGGTAAACTCTTTTATAATCTTCACTGAGAAAAAAGATGTTTGAAGGGATAGTGGACGATCTTTGGTTCTCCTATCAGTAAAACTCTAAATATGCTAAAGAAGTCAGAGACCATGCAGGTAAACCTTATCTAAGGTATTCATTGGGTCAATGAAAACAAGATGCCAATTGGGGAAATGTCATAAATGGGAAATTAGCCAAACAATACTAAAGTATGACTTCATGTTTGGGCTCAGTTACAGGGTATTAAAAATGTCACAGAGAAACATTAGACAGAAAAATAAATATGTGGTATGGTTGTGGTGCCAGGCATTGCAAAGAGATGTTAGATGCCTTGGGGCTATTGAAAACATATTATCCAGTAGCCTAAAGTTTCCTCTGCAACATCATCCCACTCAATATCCTACAACAATTTGATATGTGAAGGCTGGTATAAAACAATTCAATTTTAGAAGCAGAGATAAGAAAGGTTCCAAAGAGTTCTTGTTGTAAAATGAATTAGAGGACAAATGTAAGAGAAGAGTTCATCCTTTCAATGTGAGAAAAGATTTATTCAGACAAATCAATGAGAACAATCTGATTCTTGATAGGAACATTGGCAAGGCCAGCTCTACAACTAAAGAAGAAATAGGTAGTTACCTTGAATGAGAAGTATCAACATTGATAGAGCAGGGACTTCCAGCTCTTGTGCAGAGATAATACCCCATCTTTGATTAACAGAGTGTGTAGTATGGGCAAAGAGCAAGAGCTCTGGTCTAAGTTCTTAATCACAGACCTGCCAGTAACTGGTGATATAATCCTGGGCAACACCTTTAACCTTTCCCAGTCTCAATTTCTTTATCTGTAAAATGAGGGAACTGTTAATAGATGATCTATAATTACCTTGTATTTATTTGTCTTCCCCAAGAGAATATAGGCTCCTAAAAGGCAGTAACTATTTTATATTTGTTTTTTTAACTTCCTAGCACACTACTTTGCATAGAATTGGCACTTAACAAATGCATGTTGATTTATTGATCAACTGATTGGCAAAGATCCCTTCAAGCCTTAAAAAAATCTGTCGTACTTTATAATTTCATGATGCTACCCTTTTCTCTGTGTCCAGTACTATGTTATACTTTTTTATATTCAAGTAAGTTAAAACTCATTCTATTCTGATGGCTTTCTGAGATTTTGTGTTGACCCTTGAGTTTAATGGAAGCACATGACTGACTTGTGGAATGGTGACCTACATGACGATGCATGACAAATGAGAAAGATGATAGAGGGTCCATCATCTCATACCATGGGTTCAGAAGGATTTCTTAGATCCATACTTCAACTCAATGGCCTAAAGGAATTGCTACACATAAAGGCAGTGGAGAAAGTATTAGAATTCAAGGATTTAAATCTCAGCTCCTATACTGATGTATTCTGATGTGAGCAAATCTATTCTCTAGACCATTCTTAATAGAGAAGACTAAGATAAAAATCACACACTGGGAATCTAAAATAGCAATTGAGATGTTTAGAAGGTAATTATTTCTAGTGCTTAACACAGTGCCTGGCACACAGTAGGCACTTAATAAATGCTTCATGACTAACATTGATTTTCATGGAATATCATTAGAAGTATGATTTTTAAAAATTCTCATATGAACATTATACCTACACTTTCTTATTGAAGTCAATACTTTACACTATGGAAAATCCATCACATTACTGAAAATAATTAATTCTGTTGTCTAACTTACCTAAGAAATCATACAGGACCTGTCTTTGTTAATTCTTAAATTGCACTCAGCAAACCATCAGGACCATCTAGTCATTTACCTCACCATTGTTCCACCTGCCCCTACCTGAAAGAGTACTCACCCAATCAGACCTTCAAAAATGCAGTCCCCTAGTCCCAGGGGGAGTTAGTATACTTAACTTTGGAACTCCTGTACTAGAATCAATATAGAGTTGAGCTACACTGACACAGACTCCCATCAACAAAAAATTTCTTTGAAATTACAGGTGGTCTATGAGTATCAGAGTATCTACAGACATATATGTTACATACAGACACATACACAAATATACATATGTCAAAAGGAAAGGCTGATATTCCTTGTTTAAAAGATCTCATAAATTGAAATATGTTTTAAAAATCAAGATTCCTTTAATTTTAATATCTGGAAGGAACCTTAGAGACCATCTCGTCTGTTACAGATTAGAAGACAGAGTTGATTCATGTCTTCAACCCAAGTGCTGTGAACATATTAGTTTGTCAAAAGTGAATATTTTTTGATGATGCTAGATAAATTTGTATGTGAGTAAAGAGATTTATACTGAGTTGTAAAGATAAGTGGAAATAGAAGTTATGCTGTGTCAATGCAAAGAACCAAGCTCATGTATAATAGTGAAAATTTACTTGTCCAAAAGACGGAATGTAATCTTACATAAATCTCAGACTCAGTTCTTACAAGAATTTCTGTCAAGAGGAGCTCTCTTTGAAATAGCAAGTGGTCATTACATATCAGTGTATCTATACAGTAACACAAACCATTACATATATAGCTTATTTTCATTTATCTACATGAAAATGGCACATGATTTTTTAAAGTAATGATTAAAACATTTCTACTGTGAACTATTATACACATTGACCCCCAACATATGTACTTTCATAATAATGCTAAATCTCAGTTTCCTTATTTGTAAAATGAGGCGGGTAGACAAGATGGCTTCATGGGGCTATTACAGCTTGGATCCTATGTCCACGAAGCACCTCTCTCTGAATGAATGGTGGAGAGCTTCTCGCAAAAATCCCACTTAAGGAGGGTGCCCAAGCCAACAACCTCTTCATTTCCTATCCCACTATACTGCTCTGGGCTTCTCCATCAAGCCCCAATACCAGGTACCCAACTCCCTTTTACCTTCCGTTTGTGTGTTCTGTTACGTTGCAAGCTCCTTGAGAGCAGGGGCTGTCTTTCTTTTTTGTACTGACATTCCTTGCTCTTAGCACAGTATCTGGCACAAAGCAGGCACTTAATAGATATTTATTGATTGACTATGCTCCTATGATGCTTTATTTTATTTTCATCCAGACCTGTGTTTTCATCAAGAGTCAGGGATTCCCAGTGTTGAGACTCAACTAGCCCATGGTCAAACTGCTCCAATATGTCACAAGCAGGACCTGAAGCCGTGTCTTCTCAACTTTCAGGTTGGTCCTCTATTCAGTAAACCAAGCTACGATTTCAATGCTTTGTTTTGTTCTTATTAAGATTAGAATTGATATTCAAATGAATATTCAAAGACTCTACCAAGAATATTCTTGAGGGCTGAATGAACATGGCTCAGTATTAAAAGAGGTCCTCAAAGGAGATCATCCTCTCTTTCAGGAAAAATTCAACCCCAACAAGATAATATTTACCATTCTTGGGAGCTCCTCTAACATGCAGAGTTAACACTGAAAGAATGCTTCGTTTATTTAAAGCAAAACACATGATATACTTACACTGCCCATTCGAGTTTCTCATTCTTGATTGAATTGTAGAGGGCCTGAAAAGAGAAGAAACGAAGAGATTATTCTTCTTATTTTATTGCCTTTAGAAGAATTCAGTAAACAAGCCTAACAAGGCAGAAATGAGAAAGCAAGCAACCTCCTACAGAGACCAAACACTCATCACAGGAATAGGCCCAATTCATCAAGACCTTACTGCCAGCTCTTACCAAGAGCCTTTTTGTGAGGTCAATCGCAATTCTGTGAGTGGGGAAGGGGGCACAAAGGGGAAGAGAATCATATATAATACGTATAGAACAATATGAAACTTGAAAAAAATCTTTCAACAACATAAAATAAAACAACTTTTGATTAAACATGACACATAACACTGCTTCCCCCACTAACAAAAACAAAAGGATCTAAACTGATTAAAAGTAGGCTGTACATTCTTATTTTCTGTCTGAATGAAAAGGTGGCTTACTGATAATTCTTGTAATGTTATGTGTATATTTTAACTATGTAACCAACACATAAATTAAAATTGGAAGGGAGCTCACAGTTCATCAGGTACAATCCTTCCATTTTCTTCTCAGCAGAGAAGAAACAAGGCCAAAGAGGTTAAATAATTTGCCTAAAGTCTCACAGGTAATATCTGAAAGAGGCCACAATTTTGAACTCCTATGACTCCGAATCCAGGATACCTTGCACTTCACTATGTCCATTTTTGAAGATGAGCATAAAAATTCTATACATAAATTAATGAGATAAAGTTAGATAGAAAGAACCAAGACAAAGAATGGAAATCAGTAGCAAAGTCTCCTCTTTAGGGGTGAAATCTGAAAAGTTCATAATCACCAATAACCTTTAATAACTTGACTTCACACTAGATACAATTTCATTTGAAATTAGACATAAGGCCAAAGTGGTAGGAAGGGTCCATACAGCCTCATTCACAGGAATGACAAGTAGCTTGGTAGAACATGGCACCTCCAAATAAAAAGAGACAATATTCCATAATGCCAGTCTTGAACCTATTACAAGACTAGGCCTATTAATCTCCTTAGCATGGAACAGTAATAATGTTTTGGAATTTAAAAATTCAAAGTAAAAAGATTTGTGCAAAATGGGGGTTGTGGGGGAAGAATGATGAGGAAGATCTCATGATTTATATCCTATCTTCCCATGAAAGATGTGTCTGCTCTCCATGTCTAATGAATTTGAAATTAAAATTTTAAAATCATAAAAATATACCCTGTGTATCATTAATCTATCAACCTATAGCAGTGTCCACACATTGTCTGCAATGGAGTCAGCTTAAAAGAAACTTGCCACTTTGCATTGGTAACTACATCTGATAATCAATTCAATTTATGAACATTTATTATGCACTTATGATATGCAAAGGTACAAGACATAGATAGAAAAATAAAAACCAAACAGACTATGACATGTTTATGACCGGTCATCAACAAGGAAATAATTCATATGGTTACCAAATTAATTTTGTTAATATACAAGTCTGATTAGGTCACTTCCTTACTCAAACATTTTTTATAGGCTCCCTATTAATTTTAGGCTAAAACAAATATCTTAGCCATGCTTATTTAAGATTATCAACAGTCTAGCTCCAACATACTCTTCTAGCTTCATTTTACACCACTGCCTTTCACATATTCTCTGCTCCAGTCAAACTGAACTGCTAGCAACTCCTAGATTTCGATACTGCATTTTGCTGAGAGTGACTGGGGGTGTAGTCAATCAAATGGGTAAAAGAATGATGTGTTTATGTGGCACACCCCACTAGGTAGTGACTGACAGAGTCTGAAAAAGGCAAAGAAAGGAAAGGTGCCAGTGAATAACTATCTTTAAAGGGGTCCAATCATTTCACCCATAGGTCATCATGGACTCAGACACTACAACTGCAAAAAGACAGGTCATTAACTCTGCCACCTAGCTGCCTAGATTCTACAAACTTGGTTATTAGACTCAAACAAGGGATCCTAGAACCATTCAGTCCAACTTATAACTTGGAGGGGGGCAAATCTTGAGGGGGGGTACATGAAGTGAGGGAGTAACAAGAATAAGGTAAAAAGAGTCAGTCAAATAAGAAGGAGGGAAAATCACAAATAGTAATTATAACTTTGAATGTGAATGGAATGTTTATAGCAGCTTTCTGTGGCAGCAAAGAACTGGAAACTGCAGAGATCCCTATTAATCGGGGAATGACTGGACAAGTTGTGGTACATGTTTGTGATGGAATGCTTCCGTGCTCTAAGAAATGATGAGCTCAATGATCTTAGAAGGGCATGGAAACACTTGAACGAAATGATGAAGAGTGAAGAGAGCAGAACCAAGAGAAGATTGTATACAGTAACAGTAATATTGTTTTAAGAATGACTTTGAGCAACGGTCATTTTGACTATTATAAATATACAAATATACACACATACACACATACACACACACACACACACACACACACACACACCTATTTGTGTCTAATGGTACCCATCTCCAGGTGGGGGGTGGGGGAGGCGGGGAGAAAGAAATTTATAAAACTTTGTTGATTAATTTATTGTTGTTGTTGGAGAGAATAGCAAGTTGTACATGGTAGATTTGCAGTTTCATGTGCAATCATTTTTTTTTTTTATCATACTGTTACAGAAATGCTTGTTTCATTCCATGAATTGAAAATAAGGTAAATTTTAAAATACAACTTAGGAAGTATTATTTCCCTGCTTATGTCATGTTATGTAGTACATCTCTCATCACAATATGAAAAACCTAAACTTGTTACAGTTAGTCTTGCCTGCCCTTGCAACACTAGCATCATAAAAGGCTGGAAGGTTCTATAATTCTCTATTAGTGGTTTGTCTCATTTAGTAAATGTTTTTCTTTTTTGAAAGATGATGCTTCTATAAATGCATTACAAGAGAGCTCATAATAAAGTAGGGACATTACTAATTTCAATAATTCCTTAGATTTCCCCTTGAAAGCTGGAGGCATTATTGGGAAAAAAAAAAAAAAAAAGAATAGCAGCTAGCATGTACATAGCATTTTAAGGTTTGCAAAATGTTTTACAAATATCTCGTTTGATCCTCACATCTCTAAGAGGTAAGCGCTATTATTATCATCCTCATTTTACAATCTCAAACAAAGAGAGGCTAAGTGATTTGCCTGGGTCACACAGCTAGTAAATGCCTGAGGCAGGATTTGCACTCATGTCTTACTGACTTCACGTCTAGCTCTACCCACTTGCAAAACCTAGGGAAAGGTGATAGGGTCAGTAGAGGAGGACATTAATGGAAGGCATAAAACAAAAGTGTGGCAGACAAGAAAAAGGAAGGCTAGTAATGAATCAATGAAAGCAAACATAGCTGAAAGCCACAAAGTCACTCAAAAACTTAGTAAATATTTATTAAGCATCTGTTAAGTTCAAGGCTTTGTCGTGAGCAGTTACTTCCCATAAAACATTCACAATCTAAGGGGAGATATGATGCATGCACATGTAAGCAGGACACAAGGCAGAATCTGAAAAGGTGGAGATAACCTGATGGAGTGCTCTAAAAACTCTGAGGAGGGTGTCATCACTTTCAATTTGGATCGACTGCGATTTGAAGATCTAGAAGCACAGGAGGATTTTAAAAGGCAAGGATGTGGACAGAGTATATTTCAGCCATGGGATACGGCAGACATATATACATAGAGATAACTAATATTCCTCTTTGCTTGAACTCCAGATTGTATGAAGGAGGGGGGAAGCAGCACAGCAGCTTTGGAGCCTTAAAGACGTGGGTTTGAGTCCCAGCTCTGACACATACAGGCCACCTAACAGTCACATGTCAGAACCTCTCAACGTCCTAGTCAACTCTAAGACCCCTGAGTTGTAGATAAAGTCTCAGCAGCATTAGTAGACAGGATTTCCTTACCTGAGATTTCCCTTTAGCAGTAAAAATATAGCCAAAAAAAAAAAACAGCAATAAAAACATCAATCCCCATCCAAATGAGAGGGAATACCATGAAATTATTCCATTAAACTGTAAACTCCTTGAGAGTAGAGACTGTTTTTGTTTTTCTTTGTATCCCTAGTACTTAATTAACATAGTACCTGGCACACAGAAAACAATAAATGCTTGTTGAATTGATGAAATACAGTGGTAAGACAATGTTCAGCCTTAAATGTGACATAAAGTTTATACTTTATCCATAAGGCAGTAAAAATAATTGACAATTTTAAAGCAAGAGTGTAACAGGGTCAGACCAGTACATTCGAAAGATTAATTTGGTCAATATGTTATGAGTAGATGAGAGAAGGGAGAAAGCCTGGAGTGAAGGAGGCCAGTTACAAGGCTATTAACAATAATCCAGGGCCTTAACTGGAATGACTACAGGTTTAATGGAAAAGAAGAGGCAATGTAACAGGATCCTAGGAGAGGGAGGAAACAGGATGTGATAACTGACCATATTAAGGAGTCAGGGAAGAATCTAATCTAGCTCTAAGATTTCAAGAAAAGATACTGGAAAGATCCTTTGAGGGATATTTGGTTGTGATAATATGTGTGCTCCCTTCAATCGCGAGATCCTCCCTTTCCACTCCCAGGAAGCCATCCCTGACAAAAAAAGATTTTTTTAAAAAGAAAAAAAAAATTAAGCAAAAGCAACAACACATAGAAAAAACAGGAAGTTATATGTGACCTTCCATACAACTGACTGTCCTGCTACCTCCTGCATTTGCAAAGGATGAAAAGATTTTTTTTTCCCCACATCTCTACTTTGTGGCCAAACTTGTTCTTTGTAAACTTGCAGTTTTCATTTTCAATCGTTTTGGAATTATTCTTCCATTTACATTATTGCAGCCATGGTGTACATTGTTTTCCTGGCTCTGCTTCCTTCATTCTACATCAGCTTACATCTTCCCAATGTTCCTCTGTATCCATAATTCTTACAACACAGTAATATTTCATTGTATCCATGGGTGACAATCTGTTTACCCATTCTTCAATCAATGGTCATCTACTTTGTCTGCAGTTCTTACACAATGCAAAAAGTGCTGCTA